AGTATAAGAGATAAAGTGTGGATATAACAAAGACAAATATTAACAAATAGCACAAAGAAAAAGATGAATATTATAATACACATTAATTAAAGGTAAACTTGAAAACTAATAAAAGCTTATAAGGATGCGAAGAATAACAGAGATTCAACTACTGATATTAATAAATGAGATTAATCTTGGAAGTATTTAAGTTTCCTTGAAAAAAAATTGTTTGCATATATATATACATAATATATACAGAAAGCTTTCGGGTTGAAGTCCTCCCCCCCCCCTCCTCCAAATTTACATCCTGGATCCCGTATTGGTAAGCACAAAAAGTGTGGTGGAAGAAGTCGATAATGAAGGAAGAGGAGGAGGGGGTATAGAAGTATAGAAGTTATGGAAAAAACAATTATTATCAATAAATATAATTTATATATATATATATATATATATATATATATATATATATATATATATATATATATATATATATATATATATATATATATATATATATATATATATACCTATGTATGTATATATAAATTATAAATTATAAAAAATACAACAAAATATATAAATAAAATATTGAAATAACTGCCGCTTATGACCTGCTTGAATACAAGCGAAATGTAATAAATAAATATTTAATTAAAATTTCGGTAACCTAAATAAAACTCCCCCACTCTTGTCTTCCAGCTCCCATCGCAGTACTTGTGTTAACTTCATTCAAGCTACTTGGTCAGTACTTATATTCTTCATATTTATTTGTACTATATTTATATTTATATTATTCATTCTTTCGTACATATATAATATTTATTACATCTGGGGCTTGTTTCATAATAAAGTGCAAACTAATACTATTAGTCTAGTAGCTTGTACTTGGTACATTTTCGTTTCATAAAAAAAAGTACAAACTACAAGTTGTAAAATTGAAAGTAAAAGCTAAATATTGTTGTTATCACAAGTTCACAGCTGAAAGCAATGTTAACTGTACTATGTTCACGATAAGTGTGAAAACTAAGATCAAAAAATAATAATAAACGTGCAATTTATAACTTAGCTGTTGAGACGAATTTATAAAATTTTTGACCAAGTTGACGAAACTCAGCAACATTTTATTGGTCATTATTGCAAAGGTTAGATTGAGGTTTTAATCAGTTTGATAATCTTAGCGATAAAAATAAAACATTTTTACAATGAAATCGGTAATTAGTCTCTCTAATATCACTATATTTACTCATGTTTTGGATCGGTTTCTTTCCCGTTTTTTTAACAGAATAGAAGTAGAATAAACAAATAGAAATTATGTTTTGTATTTCATTATCGTGAACAAAACCGTCCTAAGTACATTTTATTATAATAAAAAGTAATAATTAATGGAAAAAGAGAATCTCGTCCGAGCAATATGATTAACATTTATCAATTTTTGAATTTCTAAACTGAAAAATTTATAATTATATTTAGAGGTGTGTATTCTTAAATACAATTGTATTTTATTATTTCCTATGTTGAAATATATATTATTCCTGCTAATATTTAACAATGTTTTCGTCTTGTTCTTTATTAAATAAATATACCGTGTCAGACGAGCCAAACGGTGAGTTAAAGCATCTGATACTTTCACTGCCCCAAATTCGTGTATACCATAAAAGCAGTGGGCTTACATAACGTAGATTTTGGATAACTTTTTTCCATAAACCGAGTATTAGATCATTTGTGCAAAAGTAAAAAGTACAAGAATTAATACTTTTTGTTTCATAATAGTAACTATATCATTAATAGTGATAGCCTTTGATACGAGTGAAAAAGTATAAATAAGTCTGTGAGAAGGTTTATGATCAGAGCAGGATACTTAGTTAGAGTTTATAAGTTTCTTGTTGATATATTGTGCAATATCTTTCATCGAAGTGCCAGAGGTGACAGCTTGAGATGAATGTATTTATCCACCACTGCAGTCACAAGCGGATCCAGGATTGAACTGGAGAGGGGGGCTTCAGACCGAAAAATATTTTTTTTTAAAATAATGATTATTACTTTGGGAGAAAAAGAAAGAAACTAACTAGTTAGTAATTGAAATGGTGTTTAAGTGATTATTGAATTTCTATTAATGTAATTGCATAATACTATAATACTTTAAGGGGTAGGTTTTTAATATTTATTTCATAAGACATGGTTATATTTTACCATTTGGAGGGAGGAGAGGGGAGAGAAGAGGTGGCTGAAGCTAAACTTTTTCGTTCGTGGTACAAGCCAAAACTTTAAAGAACTATCGGAATCCTTCTCCCAATAAAAAAAAAAAAAAAAAAAAAAAAAAAAAACTGGAAACGGCAAAATAATTTTTTTTTTCATTTAGAATAAATTATACTGTCGAAGCGTGATCATGAACAATTGTAGGCGAATTTTACTCTCACATTGCTGTTCTTAAAATCTTATAGTTATTCGAACAGTTTCTATGCCTATCTAGATGCAGCTTCGTTTTTACCTCCAAAATATCAGTAGGATATCAGGGAATCATCTTTTGCTTCATAGTGCATAGTGCATGCAATAGTTTTGTATAATAATAGTCTATTGGCATTACTGCAGCTTACATTCATTAGTCGTATATGCATTATAATTTAAGAAAAAAATATATTCCGATTGTTTCAGAGCGCTTAGCACAAACGGACCTATAGACATTTTTTTTTAATTTTTGGAAGAAGGGGATTCAGTCCGATAGTCCTCTCCCTACAAAACTCCCACAAAAATATTATTTCATTTTTTGGGGGGCTTCAGACCAAAAACCTCTCTCTCCATCTCCTGTCCCCATAGATTCGCCGATGCCTCACAATATTTGTTCCTATTTTCAAGCCAATTTAGGGACATATGCAGTACTGTGCACTTTTCAGCCTTCATGTTATTTTAATTATATCCAAAATCATTGTCTTGGGTTTGGGGGACCGCATTAGAAAATGTTCTCATTCCACATTCAAACTTAAGCTATTTCTAATTCTGAATGTTTTTCTTCGAAGAAAGATTTGACTGACTGACACAATCATTAAGATGCCCCTTATCAGTTGTAAAAAAAACAGTCACTTAATATTACACAGTAAAACTATTCTTAATATTTCGATATTACAAGTGAACTTAGATTTGTACTAAAAGTCTAAGAAGATCTAAGATTAACCCTATTTATGAAACAGTGTGACTTTTAACTTGAATTTTGTACTATGTTATTATGACACGAATGAAAACTACTAGTACGATAGTATTACTATTTACTAGTAAGTATATCTGCTGAAACTAAAAGTCCAGATAGATTTTTCTTTCGTTTTCTAAACGGTGATAGAGAAAACAGACTCGTTCAATCGATTGAGTCTGTTTTTAAACTAATCTTCTCAAAAATAACCTCGCCACTTATTGATTTGTACTTTTTCCTTATCAATCCATGAAATAAAAAGTATTAGTACTGGTACTTTTTAGTTTTGTACATTTGTACTTTTTACTAATACTATTAGCTTGATTATGAAACAGGCCCCAGTTCTCCACATACTTATTTAAACATATAATTTTTGGTTATAAATTCTTACATTATAATATTATTCTAAACTATTGTTATTATTAATTGTTTTTATATTTCTAAAATTCTTCTAATTTATTCTTAATAATAGTTGTATCTAAATTATCGTTTGCACTCTTATCATACAGTTTATCTTTAATATTTATTTCGTTTATTTTCCTCTTTGTTATTTATGTTCTTTCGTCATATCTTATCGCTTAAAATTTCTGATTTAATTTAAGCCCCATTGGTGACTCACATACATGGGTCAAAACGTCGGCATACATTATAAAAAATATGACTTAAAATCCTTTATCGTCCAAAATAAAATACTTTCAAAATTTTTTTATTTTATATATCAATACAAAAATCTATTCTAATATTTATAATATATTAATAATCTTTTCTCGTAAAATATATAACTTTAACATAGTAGTTTAAATGTTTTGTTAATATCTTATGTTTAGATATGTACACTTCACCTACATGTACTTACAGGGACACATCGTACCTCCCCTTTATTGTTACATGTACTGTATATGTAAATTGATTAAATAAACATTTCGGGGGGTTAGAAAAAAAAAAAAAAAAAACTTATTTTTAGATTCCAACAGAATGAAATTCGTAGAATTACAGTAAATATAATTTTTAATTATTATAAAATATAACATTACATACCACCGTAGTTTTTACCCGTTTTAAAATAAAGGAGGATTGAGAGAAATATTGCCTTGTCTATGGCAGATCTTGTGATAAATCGATTAATTAAGAGTCAGCTGTTTAAATAAGTAAATATTTAAAAATATTGAATTAGTATGTAAAAAAAGCATTTTTTGTTCTTTTCCAAAAGAATTGAGTTTTTTTGTTTAACATTTGGAGCTCTTCTTTATACAAAAACGTCTCTTGAGACCTCTTTATACATTCTTCAAACGCCGCAAACAAAAAACGTCTTGGTTAAAAAAAAAAAAAAAACTCAAAGAAATAACTTCTTCTTAACTTTCTTGCGTAACAGTCAAATACTTCTGTTTAAATTTTTTTTTAATTTGAAAAGAAAAAATCAAAAAGAATAAAAAAAAACTGACCAAAACACAAATATCTTGTCCCTGAATCCAGATAACAGACATGTCGGGTACAAACATTCATTAGTAAAAAAAAATTTTTGCACTCGCCATGTTTTTCATGGTTTGGGTGTTATGTAGGCGGGAATATATATGTTACAGTACAAGGGTTTTTCAATAAAATATTCTTCGGTGTCTATATCTTAATGCTTTGCTGTCAATCTATTGTTATAAAATAAAATTAAGGACTATTTCGAAAGTTCTTACCACCGTAGGTATTCTTTAGTTTTTTAAAAGTAAATATATATAAATTTATGTATGTGAAGGGCAGAACATAAAAATTAAAAATTGTAATTTTGGAAAGTAAGCGATCTATCACCTAGAAGTCATATTTTATAAGTCATGTTAAAACGTTTCAGCCCATTCTTTCTTAATCCTCGGAGTCATGAGCTCTCGCCGCAAAACACGGTCGGATCCAGGCAACGAGATGCGTTATCTGAAAGGAGTCGTAAGGAAGACCAGAAAACCAAGAATACGCAACACCTTTATGATGCCGATCCTGGAGGTACAGTCCTCGAGTGAATCGACTAATGTGAGGTATGTAGACGAAAGTTAGTTTAGTAAATCGATTAATTGAAGGTCCAATGTGAATAACGATCGCGTATAAGTCATGATTTACCTAATAATCATGACAAATTTTCAGAATTATGAGTCGTAAGAGCTTGAAGTGAAGCTGTCAGATAATGCAATTTGTTTGCTCTCTTGCAGTATTTTTAATAAAACTAAAAAAAAGATTCGTATATTAGCGTCTTTTGATTGTGATTTTATTTTTTGGGTAAAAAAACCACATATTTATATTTTTAATATTGTTACATTTTCATAGTTTATAATTTGACAGACTATGACAGGTGTGAATATAAATATGAAGAGCAAAAGAAAAAATAATTTTACAAAATATATAACTTTTTGTATCCTCCTTAATGAGCGTTATAAAAAAATCGGTAAAGATAAAGGTTCTGAGCATCTAAAAACGTTTACTGCTTTGATCTAATCTTACATAATTTAAAACTGAAAGTAACAGATTCTCGTCCCTAAAATAAAGTTTGAAATTAAATTTAAAAAAAATTATAATAATAAAAGCTATACAAGTGACTACAACTTGAGAAAGGTTCCGTACATGGCAAAGAAAGTTTTCTCTTTAACACAATGAAGTGTTTAGTAATAATGGATGTGGTCCTGAAAATGGACTTCCTACCTCAGAGTCGATTCATGCATGATATAATAAAATATATTTATTATTAGCTACTGCCAGCCAGCCTCGGATCCGGAACAGGGATTTAAGAGTCCAATCATTGAAAAAATTAGCAACACCGCTTTCTAAATTCAATAACAATAAATAAGAATAATTAATATAACTGATCCAATCTAGATAACTTATTATATCGTGAGGTAGTATATAAACGTCTCGCTACGCGATCAAAATAAATAAATAAATACACTACAACATTATAGATACACTGGTAAAAAATGTATATTACTCTGTGAGAATACACCTTCATTATGTAAAAATGGTATAAAATAATTAATTCGATGTATTTCCTTCCGCTAGTTATACATTTTACTCATCTCTCTGGAAATCCATTAAATCCATGCCAGAAGTAACTGTTCATTTGTCGCAAATAAGTTGTCTAGCCATATCAAGCAATAAGAGTAAGACGCACCAGACGCACAGCTGAAGAATATAGATAAAAGAGAAGAACGGAGAAGTTACTTCATAAAAGAAAGAAAAGACCCTGCGAAAGAAACAAACTAGAGGCAGCCGAAATTCTTAAATCTTTTGGTGATGCCAGGAGATTCTATGCCTCAATCAGTCAAAGCAGAAAGTCCTTCAGCATGCAAGGATCGCGATGGTAATATAATTGTTGAGAGGGCAGCGTCTATGTATGTATGGAAGGAACACTTCGCGAATATTTATGCAGAACGTCAGGACCATCTATTCCAACAAAACGGGGATGTTGAACCACCAGATGATGAAGAGGTGACTGATGCTTTAGATAAGTTGAAACACCACAAGGCTCCGGGGGCGGACAATCTACCAGCTGAGTTGCTCACGTATGTTGGGGAGCTTCTGAAAATAATCCTACACAATCTCATCTTGGGAATCTAGGAAAAGAATGATATACCGTCAGAATGGAAGAAATCCTCAATATGCCCCATATTCAAAAGGGAGGTCCCCTTTGACTGTGGGAATTTACTCCCTCCTACTCGGCGCTTACAAGTCCTTTCAGGCATTCTGTTTCAACGGCCGTTCGCAGAAAGAGCACTAGGCCCTTACCAAAGTGAATTTAGGAAATAAAAAGTCTACAACGAGCCAACTATTTTGCCTCAGGATTATATTGGTCTATTATACAAATAGGATTATACAAATCTAGCAAATTTGACATGACTGATTATTTTCTGCAAATTTATCTGATAATGACCTTTTTTAGTTACTGATGAAGAAGCAGATCTCTGGGCCATTTTCTTTTTTCGAGCAAGCTACAGGGAGGAGGAAATCGAAAAAACGAGTGGATTGGTGTGATTTTTATTTAAAGAAATTAATTATAAATTCCTTATAGAATGAATAATTGTTCATAATCAAATTTTCACATCGGAATCTAATGGAAAAACAGTGCACTTTAATTATGCCATAATTTTTAAACCTGAGATAATGTTCCAGCTATAAAAACGGGTATTCAACTGTTTTCCGTCTGTATATTAAAATAGAATTAATAATAGTTGGATATTTAAACAGAATGAACAAGACAACAGCTCCAGGTGTGCACGAATGCTAACTACACTGCCTCATTCATATATTATATGATCAAGAATTAAAGATCTCTATCAATGTCCCTTTCTCAGGCATTGCATATAATTTTCTAGGGCTGATTAATTTAGTTAATAAAATGTTAAATTATTCAGTACCATTAGCTGATCCAGCCAGAGGGTGTCCCTTCTCTCCCCTGGAAAAATGTTCCAAAAAAAGAAAAGCGAAATATATGAAAAATTCATACTCAAAAACGAATTTCCTAATTAATATAAAAAAAAAATTATCGTGACCAGCACTAGCGAATTCTGCAATGGGACGCACCCTTCCTTAAATTGTGGAAAAACAATCCGAAAAAAGTTCGAAAAAACACCTATTTAAAGAAAAGAGAAATATAAGACAAATTCATCGTCATAAACGAATATCCTAATGTAATACAAAAAAAATATTATTATCGTGTCCAGTACTACTGGATCAAGCCGGGGGATGCTCCCCTCTCTCCCGAGGATGGTGAGAAAAAAGTTCCAAAAAACAGCTATTTAAAGAAAACAGGGATATAGCAAAATTCATCCTCATAAACTAATTTTCTAATGTAATATAAAAAAAAAGTTATTATCGTATCCACCTGGATGGTGGAAAAATAATTCTGAAAAAAAAGTTCAAAACAGCTACTTAAAGAAAGGAGAAATATGGGAAAAAATAATCCTCTACGACAAATTTTCTAATGTGATCATCATCACCATTCCGAGCTCGACAATATATTACTGGATCTTGGCTGCCTCAAGAGATTTCCTCTATGTTTTCCAGTCCTAAACAGTCTTCACCAGTTCGTGATTTCAAGGATTCTGGCATCAGCACTTCATCTTTCATCCTTCTCAGCTTCGGTCAGCCCGCTTTTCTTTTCTACCCAGCTCCATGCACAGCAGCTTCTTTGGGATTGAGGTGTCGTCGATCCGTACAACTTGCCCCTCCCCCGCATCTCAGTCTTGCTATCCGAATATATTTCACCATATCCGGCTCCTTGTATAAGTTGGTTATTGGTTGCGTCTAATTCTCCATTCATCATTCTCAAAATTTACTTTAAATACAAATAGAGTTTGCTTTTGTTAAAACCATTTGAAGAGGACTTTTGAGCGGCGAAAATCACCAAAGGAGTGGGGATAGATGGGTAGTGGTGGGAGAACGAGTAGGGATGGCGAAAGCACATGGTGCAGAGGTGCGCCTCCTCCTGAGAATTTTCCTGGATCCTCCACTGTTCAGTACTCTCCTCTCATCAAACCTAAGGTATTAATTATATAACAATACCCCCATAAATTTATAATAAATTTTTCATCGTACTGTTTCTTTTTTTTTAAACTAATATCAAATTTATTTATCCCATAACATAAAACAATTAATGGGGTTCGAATATGTATATCGTGTATAATATAATATGTACACAATAACTACTTTAACATTATTTTCGGACTGAATCTGGACAACATATTAGCTTCTTTGCATACAAATAACATTGTAAGTGGAGTAAATACTCTGGATACCCGACCGATTTAGAAAAAATATATATTTGGCTTACAGCAATATTATGAGTACAGTGCTGAAACAAGTAGTCGTTAAAAGAAAAATAGCTTCAAATATTTTTTTGAAGAGAAACAAATTTGAGATTTGTATTTTTCATCTCGGAAAATCCTTAAATACGAAATTTTAAAGAAATAGGAAAATATAATTTTTTTCGTTCAAAATTATCGCCAAGGTTGAAGCCTTCTTTTTCAAAAATAGTAATGTTAAGAACTTTGACATGACTCCTCCTACACACACGAAAATTATCAGCGATTCAGAGCCCTGTAAACTGTACACACACTTTAAACACGAAATGTTTACGAGACCCCCCCAAAAAAATAGAACAAAAGATATAAAAAAAAAAGTTTGAATCTGAAAGTTATTGATATGGTTTGGAAGAGCAATAATTTAACTTCCCAACTGTTCAGAAGCCTTGGATTAGGAAAAATGAAAAAAAAATTCTCTATAAAATTAAGTCAAAAAATATTTTTTACTTCAAAAGAAGATCGTAATTAAAAGTTTTAAAGAACACTTGAAACACAAAATGAATATTTTTTGTCGTCTTTTTGGGAGCATTGTTAATGACCCTCGGACGTGGACGAAATATTTTTGACCTATTATGACCAAATAAAGTTTAATTGTCTGTATTATTTATTTTAAAATTAAATCAATGCCTAAGTATAAATATCGCGTACCTTATAATTATTTAGAATATAATGAATATTGAAAACCGACTAATTTATGACTTATTAACTGATTTATTTTTTAAAAACCTATCATTACCTTATTGTAAATAGCAAAGAAACATGTCCATAGAATAATAGAAAAATATTTTTTTAGCAAAACCAAAGAAGAAAGGCATGATTTACAGTAAGAAAAAAAATTGTAATTCATCCATTTGACTTCAACACCAAAACAGAAATATCTGAGATCGAATCGGTCCCTTTCGAAGATTATATTATTTTAATTTATCAATGGAAAAAAAAATATGAGTGAGATGAATAAGATAATGGATATACTAAAAAATGATAGCTATGTCGTTATTTTTTACGATAAATTCGATTTTTTTTTAATATTTCGAAAAGAAATAGAGTAAAAAATGAAATCCACATCAAATATCAATCAAGCAGCTAAATAAATATCTTTCATATTTTCAAATGTTCAACATTATTGATGTTTTTTTTAAATTCTTCTCCAGGAGAAAGTTCATTTTATGTTT